GGCTCGTGTGGCAGGGTGGGGAAAGGGTGGCCCAGCGGTGAGTCTCTGCCCTTGTCCTCTGCTCACGGCCACTTAGCCACCTGGATTCTGGATTTTTCTCTCTGTCGGAGGGATGCAGCCGAGTGGGCAACAAGTTTGGTTCTTGACCCACGTTGTACTTTCCTGCAAGTTTGCAGAAATTACTTACTTAAAAATGTGCAGATTCCACAGTTGAAGCCTGAAGTCTACATAATTGAATGACTTGAATTCTGAGATGATTTAACAAGCGCCTATACTCATATTATTCTAACTGTGCACATTATTTGGGCTTAATTTTTCTATTTCCTCTGCTTGTAATCTACTTTCCTTCCCATCAGATACACAGCAATTCTATTCTTCCAGTATCAGCTGTTTTATAATCATCACCCGGACAGCAGAACTACATCCTTGTATTCATTTAATAACTATTTATCATCCTCTATCTTCCCATTTTCAAAAAGGAATAAGTTAAGTGCTCCAGAAATTGGAAAAAATTGAAATTTGACCTTTATTAACTGGGTTAATTGTCAAAATCTCTGCTTGTAAAAAAAAATTAATGACCAAAAAGTGTAACTTTTAGAGTTTCAAAGACTAGGTTAATGTCCAAGGAAGTGTAAACTTTGACCTTTTTGACACATGTCATACGTAACATCTACCCTCATAAATTGCTACCTGTGAGCAATTATAAAATTTCCCCTGCATCCAATCATGCAATTTAATTGCTGCTGGAAATTCTGGCTTCCCTACAGATAGCCTGGAGAGTTATTTGCTGCCTGTGGGGAGTCATTTTCTATTTGTTTCAGGGGATGTCATGTTCACCTGGATCTCTGAGATGCTCGTGGGCAGAGGGCCATAATCAATGAGACTTGTCCCAGGAAGGAAGTGGGACCCAAAACAGGCTTCCAGACCCAGAGGGGCCGCCCCCAGCCAGAACCCCATCATTTCCTTGTCAATTGTCCATTTAAGAAAGACCGAGGTGGGTGTGGCCTGACGTTCCCTGTTACCTGTAGACAGTCCAGCCAGCACCCAATGGGGTGAGCAGGTGTTTTTCCTAATGCTGCCCCGTGGAGATGGACACCTGCAGGCTAGGAATGGGACTGACACTCCCACTCACACCCATCAGCCGGGCTTGAAGACAGATCTCATTGCACTTAAGTCACCCCAAGCTAGGATCCCAGGGCCCCCTGTAATTCTACCATGTATCTGGAAGATCCCAGAATGTTGGAGAATCTGCAATGTAATGTCTATAAACAGGAGGATGATCCTAATTTCCTAGGGCATGTTTTCAAAGCAGTTAAGTGATGGTGTGCAAAGAAAACGAAATCAGACACTTAAATCCCATATTAGTTGGTAACAATTGAACGTCGGGCGAGTAAAGATTAGACGGGAGAAAACATACAGGTGAGTTATGGTTTTGTATATTGTGGGGCTAGGAGCCCTGCAGTGTGGGGGGGGGGGGCGGCATGATGACCCAGTGGGGGACATGGCTGCCCAGGAGGCCTCTAGCCTCCAAGTGGCACTTCTGAGTGGCAGTCCCCACCCCCCGGAAGCTCCAAGCTCTTGGCACCCTGCACCGTGTGAACCGTGTCCTCAGATACTTGATGACCATGGGTGAACCAATGGGGTCACTGATTCAAAGCATCTAAGGAAGAAGACTGACTTGAGGCGCTGTGGCCTAGCGCGTCTCACTTTCCCATCCGCTCCACACGGCAGCAACCAGCCTGCAACGGGTCACCTGTGAAATGGGGTTTTGCCATCGGCCTCTGCCACCTGGGTGGAGTGGAGCCAGGTGCCCAAGTCTGTTATCCTTATGGGAAGACCCGCAAGCTTGAGGGCCTTAACTCCCTGTAGTCACCAGCCTCCAGAAGACAGACTTGGGATAACTGCTGTGTGCAAATAACCTTCGGGGGAACCGGGTCTTGTGTGGATGCCCAGCTCACCCCTCGCCCCACCTGGCCAGGTGATGGTGAATGCCTTTGCCACCCCCGCAAAGAGCTGAGAGTCATCAGTGTTACTTGGTTCCTGACTGTCTCGTCAGTTCTCGTAGGCTGCTCAGTCTCGTCAGTTCACGCGGAAGAAAGGGCCCTGCCCTTGCACACTCGCACACTCGGGCTGAACAGCATGAGTCACCTGCTCAACACAGCTTCCTGAGATGGGGAGATGGCGACCTGGCTGCTCTCCACCTTGGCTTCTCCCAGCCTGACTCTGTTGGAAAATAGTGTTGGAAAGGCCCTTCTGTCAAACCCCACCTCTGTGGGAGGAGCTGAGAGTTGGGGTTTTCTAGGATGGCACCTCTTAGGGGAGGCGGCAAGAAGGGAGGGAGCTGGAGCTGGGACAGGAAGGAGAGAGCTGGGAGAAAACCCATTTTCCTGGATGGAACTGTTCCAAGTCCGCCCCCATTCTAGTCCTTTGAAAATGAACCCCGGACCTGAAACGAAGGAGTATCCCGGCTGAATTTACTCATTGTAATTGCACGTGCGTTTAGGCCACCCAGGCTCCGGGCTGGGTATTTTGACAATTGCTGAGGCCCAAGTCAAACAAGTCCTTTCTCATAAATAACCTGTGCATGAAAAAGCAGTAACTTTCTCCAGGTGCATTTCAGCATCGTCTCAAATGGGAGGATCAATCCCAAAAGGAGGTCCGTCCAGGGGGTGCCCGATCAAGGGGGGCACTCCATCTAGGGGAACTGCGGCCTTGTCCTTCCATCACTTCTCTAGTAAACGCCGGTAACATTTACTAGAAAACTTAAAGCCAAGAAATTGGTACCGCCCAGCATTACCTGGACAGTTCAAGTTTATATGTATAAACCCATATATATATAACCCATATATATATATATATATATTTAAAATAAATAAATGGAAGGTTTTCTGCTTGAGCCAGCTGCAAAGACAGCAAAGATATGACCAGCCTCACTGAACGGAGGTCCAGACTGAAGGCAGAGTCTGGTGGGCAGATCCCGCCACCCCAGCAAAGCTGCCCCAGGGTCTGCCTGGGCTCTGTGTCAGTGGAGCATTGAGGCTGGGTTATCCACTCACCAAGGCGGGGGCCTCACCCGCTGTCCCGGCCTCAGGCCAGACTGACAGGCATCCTCACAGCCTCCTCGCCTCCTTATTCCCTTTTGCGGAGAGGAAAACTGAGGCCGGCGCATTAAGGCACCTGCTCTGGGGCACAGCTACGGTGGGACAGCCTGGGTCGGGGCCGCAGGTCTTTGGCCGCCCATAGGTTTGGGATGACGTTCCCCTCCCCGAGTATAGGCTCCAAGGCGGTACACCGGGAGGCCCCGAGCTGAGCGAGCGGGTCACCCTCACCGCGGCAGGGGCTGGCCCCCAGGTCCTTTTCAGAAAAGTAAGTTTTGCAGGATGGAAAGTGGGGTAGTGCGAGGATGGGGGGTCTCCTTGGTGGGGGGAGGGGGAGGCAGGCATACTCTGCAGAAGGAGATGGGCACGTCTCTGCCCCACTCCACTGCCCACAAATGAACCCCATTCCAGTGCCACCTCCTGCAGCGCTTCTCCCCCGGCTCCTCCCCAGGCCAAAGCACAGCACCCCTCTCAGGAGACAGGACGACTCCGCTGGGTGCCTGTCATTTGAAATGTGTGCCAGGTCACTACCTGCGGGGCAGTGGGCTGGCTCGGGAACATTACCCTCCTCAGGGACATGGCGGCGGGACAGGCACTGGAGTCTCCGCCTGGGTGGACAAGGGCAGCCTCCTGCCTGCAGGATCGTTTGCCCACCAGCCCCACTAATGCTGTCCGCCTCCCACTCCCCAGTAGTGGCTTGGATGGAAGAAGTAACCAGCACCTGTGAATGCTCAGCACCAGGCGACACTTTATCTCACTGGGGCCTTCAGAAACACCCCAGGGATGGGAAGCACAGGTTGCCCTAAAGGAGGACACGGAAACAGCCAGGCCTGTGCCCTCTCCAGCTAGCAGAGAAGCAGGGCTCTGTGCTCAACTTATATTCTCAGCCGCCATCCTGCCTCCCAGTCCTCTGTAAAATGATGATAAAACCAAAGAGCCCCCGACCTTGACAACACCCTGCTCGTGTCAGTCACCCCTTCTGATAGCAGGTGGCCTGTGCAATCCGGGGAAGCAGTGAGGGACCCCTCCCCCCACCCACCACTGGCTCCCAGCTGTTGGAGCAGCTCCTTGGGCTGGGACTGGCCTGCGCCCCCCCTTGCTGTGCCACTGCAGACTGAGCAGGCCCCACCCTCCTTCCCAGCACAGCTCTTCAAACACAGGGCGACAATGACCCGTCCCTCCTGTCCCTGTCACCCAGGACCTGCCCCTCAGCGGCATTTCAATAACAAATTTGCAAGTGCATTTAAATACAATTCAAGTTACTCAAATTCAATTTACATGCAGAAGTTTAGGAATACATTACATAAGGCGCTGCTGATTAAAACAGTGGGGTGACCCTCAGTGAGGTTATTGGATTCTACTCCACCCCCACCTGCGACTGACATTTAAATAAAAGGAGCCAACTTCCTGGGTCAGATTATCAGTTATACCCTATTAAACAGGCTTGTTTTGCCAGATCGATAATAATGCAAACATAACACCAAGATCACATGAAAAATGTCTCACCGTAGTCATGGTTACAGTCAAGTTTGAGATCTAGGCTTTCTAGGAGACTCCCCCCAGACAGTAACGTCAGCTCCCTCATCACAGTCTTGCTGTTTGAGTTCCGAGTTCACGTTGCAGGTACTGTCTGGGTTGGTTTTATCTTCTTTAATTTTCGTTTCCACAGGTAGCCACTGGCCACCACCAGAGAGTGAGGATTTGCCAAAGTGAATTCCCTCCTTTCTAAGTGAAGGTTTAATGCAGCATCCCCCTGTTGATGAGGGAATATTGTTGATGTCTTCCCCGATCTCTCTCAAAAAATCAAATACATCTTCTAGTGCACCTGTTCTGATAGCGCCCCGTGGGGACGGGCACTGGGACCCACGCCAGCCCGGCCTGGGTGCCATCGGGCGGCAGTCCCCTAGGTCTGAACTGTGCATAGAGAACATATTTTTCTGAAAGACGTAGTTAATACTAGAGAACTTTTAATCCATCAAGAAAACACATCTACAAATTAGCCACGAAAGTTCAAGTATCTGGCTGGGGCTTTTACACCAGAGAGGCCCAAGTTTCCCGAGTGGGTGCACCTCCTGGAAGTGCGCGCAGTCACAGACTGGTGATACACGAGGGGCGGCCTCAGGCTGACACGAGCCAGGTGTCCTCTCAGCGCTGCGTTCCAGGTGTTCTCACGGACAGTCAGGCACAACCGCTGGGGCACTAAGGTAAAGCTGAGACCCCAACCTGTGCGGCGGCACACCCCTGGGCTCCCTGGAGCCAGGCGCGAGCGCATCAGCTCCGCAGGGCCGGGCCTTCCCGGGGCTTCCTGAAGAGGACTCACCTCGGCCACAGGCCTGGCAGAGTGGGTGAGCCCGTTCATGGCAGTTTTCAAAATAAGTGATGTGCTTAGCAGCCAGGACACACCAGAGACGGCGCAAACGTGTGCAGTGAGGAGTGACCCGAGCACTTCTGGGGGGGCCCCCACCCGGCTCCATCCCGAGCTCGCCCACTGCCGGCAGGCCCCGGCCCGCCCTGGCTCCCACCAGGCTGAGGTTCAAAAAACACCTGCAAGTCAGGAAGGGGCTGTCTCACGCCAAAGAAAAGGATTAGACAAAAAAATTAATCACGTTTTCCTTTTAATAAGGCTTTTACTCAAAAGTGTAGCTTTGAAAATCTCTAGCTTGGCGTGGACCGAAGGGCCCCGCGCCAGCCCCACGGCACCCCCGGCCGGCGCCCCAACAGGGTGGCACACGCCCCTCTCTGATTCACGGGACAGGGAGGTTCTTAGTACAGTAAAACAAACACAAAAGTAAATAAGTCTTTAGAAATCACTAGCTGTGTGTGCGCGCGCGCGCGTTTATATAATCAGGATTATCAACATTCAAAACTATTAAAAATAAGGTTGCCAGCCTGCCTCTTCTCTTAGTATTGGTATTTTTTTAGGGAAAAAAAAAAAAGATTTTGCCCAGACTCTTCAGCTCCCCGGACTCTTCAGCTTCGGCTCTGCATCCGCCCCGGCCTGGCCCGTGTGCCCTCGGGTAGGCAGGGGCAGGCAGCCTCGCGGGGCGCCGGAGAGGGGGAATCTCCCCCAGAAGAAAGCGTGTCTGATCGGGGGCCTCTCTAGGCGGCTGCGCTCCTGCTGGGGACGCGCCTGCTCTGCCGGGAAGCAAGGTGGCAACCTTAATCACCAAGGGGAGCTAGATTTCTTAAATAACTTAAAAAAATCATTTCATATAAAGCAGCAAAAACATATCTTCCTCCCGCAGGAGGAGGCGCGGGGCAGGAACTCAGCGGAGTGAAGGGCTGTTCTGGGCTCGGGGCTGCACCCCGCCCGCTCAGAGCCGCCCCATGGCTTCGGCCACGCCGTCGGGAGCAGGTTCTTTGGCGTCCTCAGTGGCTCTTTTTCTTTCTTCTGGACTTAAGTTCTCCTTTTCCGACCTGGGCCCATTGGGGACAGAGTTCTGGCCGTTGACCAGCCGGCTGTCAGCCTCCGTGAGGGCCAGGGCCTCCTGCACGCCGGCCTCCTCCTCCAGGCCGCGCAGCACCAGCGGGAGCCTCGAGTCCGCCCCGCCGCCCTCCAGCAGCCCCAGGCTGCTCTCCTCATACTTGGGGAGCGGCGCCGCGGCATCCATCTGCCGGCGGTAGTGCTCCCGGTTGGCAGCCGCGCTCCGCACGGCCCTCTCCAGGATCTCCTTCTCGCCCAGGCGCAGCTTGACGGCCATGGTCGCGCGCACGGACAGGTCCTGGTTTTTCAGGAAGGCCCTGTCCTCCTGAGGATGAAAAAAGAGCAAAATCAATTCCAGGAAGTTATCTAAAGCAGCAAAACTGGAGTGACAGAAGGCAGATCAGTTGGTGCTGGGGATGGGGGCATGAGGGAGACTGGAGGGGTGACAGAAGGTTCTAGAACTTGGCTGTGTAGGTGGCTGCCTGACTGTATACACTTACATCAAAACGTACACTTGAGAAGTGTGAATTCCTTGTCTGTGAAGCACACCTCGCTAGAACTGTTACGAAACACAAAGACTGAGGGAGGCGGCGCTCCCTGGCTGGTGGGCCGGCGGGCAGGCGCCTGGAACAAACCAGAGACCCCCAGGCGGGACCGGGTGCGAGGCAGACTTTGAAGGCACGAATGAAAACTTACATGTGTTGTGTCATCTGAATCAGAAATGACAGAAAAGTATTAAAGTATCTTCTAGTAAAGTACCTTCTAATCAACAACAGTGCCTCACTGGGCTGCCCTGGGCCAGTGTAAACGTGTCAAATAGAAAACTATTAATCAGTTGGATGAAATATGTCAAATACATGGTGATTTTGCTGAAGAACAATAGAAATTTGCATTTGGAAATATTTTTTTAAAACATCTTTAGAATAAATCAACTCTAATTACCTCAATGGTGGTTTTGTATGTCTTTAAAAGAAGTGAGGCCCGGTCTTCGAGAAAGGTCCACAGTTTGACCTCATTGTCCCAGCTGACGGGATACTCGGAGTTACCCAGGGTGAAGACTCTGTCGATGGCATTGTCTCCGAGCAAGTGTTCCTTCAGTTCTTCTACGAGGAACACAGAATCATCCCTTAGCGAAACCCCGCCACTTCCCCCTGAGCTGCGAGTCACTTAGGAATCTCTTTTCCAGCAAAGTCATCTTCCTGCCCCTGAAGCCCCCCTCCCTGTGCATCGGGCAGGTCATTTCCAGACTCTCCAAAGTGGTGAGAACTCAGCTTCTGGGCAGGCAAAGGGCTGCAGGTTCTTATTTGGAATCAGGCCCAAGCCAGACTCAGTCTGTGGGGCACTTAGTGCCACCAGGTTCGTTTTAAAGGCCTGCCCCTCCTGACTACTCCCTCAAAGGCCCCACGCTCCCCAGCTCAGCCACACCAACTGGGTCAAAAAGACACTCCCAAGAACATCACAAACAGGGGGCGCCACCCAGCCCCGCCCAGGGACTGACTGGGGCTTTTTGCAACAGCTGACCTGACAAAGCTGTGATCTCATCACAAGTCAGCCCCCAACTGAAAGGAACAAGAAAATGGACTATAAAAATCTTACTTAATGAAAAATGTGCCCACAGCCCTCACTTGTCAGGAATTTAAATAAGACTTCAAGTAAACACGAGTGAACATCTCAATTCCCTTCAAATATCCTGAAGAAGAGGGAAGAATTCAGCAACTGCTCTGAGCTTTTTATCTCCTGGCACATTATCTCCCGGAGACCCTATTCACACTCCGAGGCAGGCCTGGCTTCTTATGTAATTACGAGACAGTATCTCTTTCAGAGCAAAATGCCCACAGCTGTCACTATTTACAATTCAAATCGAAGAACTTCTGCTGCCAGCAAACCAAACTTTTATTAGTATTAGTTAGAGTAATTCAGAGAATACATCAAGTGTCTTGCATGACAAATTGCCTCTCTATGACTAAAGAGAAGCCAAAGAGGAGCCATGGACCCAAAATGATTCAAGCAGGGTTTTTTTTTAAATAAGAAAACAGAAGTCAATCTAATGTTCAAAAAAAGAAATCTAGTAAGTTATCTGTTAGCAAGAGACCAAGACAAAAATCGGGGCTCTCGGCCACCCGAGCCTCGGGCTGCACGCTGCGCAAGAGTGACGCAGACGCGAGCGTGTCACTTCCTTGGCGGCGGGGCCGCCGCTTCTGTTTTCTTCCTCAGCCCACCAAGCTTTACCCTTCCGTGTTGGATGGGTACACAGGACTGGAACACTAGAACCTACACCAGAGAATGAAGACCCGTCTCCAGAAGGTTCTGGAAACCAGCCAAAGGTTCCGGGAGCAGGACGCTTCCTCCCAGGCTTTCTGCGGGCTGATGAATCCAGGACACGGGCCCTGCACTTGGGAGTCCTCCAGTCACCATGGGGGTCGCTCGGCTCCACCAACCACCCTGGAGTCCCTTCCCCATCGCCTCGGACTGGCCGAGTGGATGGTGCCCGTCCTCTGTGGGCTGAGCTCCCGCACCAGCGCAGGCAGGATCCCACCTCCCCAAGGTTACCCCAGAGCTAGCACTGCCTTTCGTGTGGTGCCAGGCACCCGTGGGGGCCGCACAGCAGCAAGGTCCGTCCTCACTGTCATACTTAGTTATAAATTCCTTCCGGATGGGGACCGTGACATTCACAGTGTCCCTATGCTACACGCAAGGAAAGCCCACTGTTAACCCTTAATGCATGTTCGCTGAATTGATGACGCCACCAAGGTTACCAGCTGCCCAGAGCCCTCCCTGGAGGGGCAGGGATGTAGCCACTGGTCAGGGACCACAGCCACCCTGCCTTTCATCGGGCGCTGGGCTCAGATAGCGACCGCTCTGTGTTGGAGGCTAAGTTTCTCCTACGTCCATCCTGACGTCAAGCGCTGACCTGGGGCATTTCTGGATTCCAATATGGAGACAGGGAGCCGGGGCCAGGCAAGGTCCCAGAGCCTTTCCAGGATGGCAGCCACCCATGCCCTCACCTGATCCTACCCAGGCTGTTAGGCACAGGGTTTGAGGCAGCTTCCAACAGCCATGCATAGGTGTGTGCACATACACACCTACACACACACACATACACACACACACAGGCCCAGGGAAGCTGGAGAAGCACATCTGCAGGTGAAAGATGAAAGCAGCCAGGACAGGTCAAATCTCAGGGTAGGAAACCCTACACAACTCAACACAAGCAAAGCTGGAAGGCGGTGGGGCCTCGCCCTATGCAGTTAACACTTTCTGTGCCTGACTTCAGAGGCAAGAACGCTGTGTCCTGAACAGACTGTCACCGGCTGTTGGGGACACCCAGCACCACATGGCCTGCGGGCGGTCACTTTAGGCACCCACGTGACTTCAGTGTCAGGATCATTAGCCTCTGTGGAGCACGGGGTGATAGGTCACCATCAACCCAGCACTCAGCACACCTGCACCTGCCACTTCCTGGGGACATCTGATGCGGTGGACAGTCCCGGATGTGCTAAGTGCCCCTCTAAAGCCAAGAGGCTGCTTCTCACCAGTGCACACTGACCACACACTAGGGTTTGATGAAACATTTTGAGGGTAGACAAGTCGCTGGCCTCTTCCTCCAGCATCACCCCTGTACCCCCGCCCTCAGAGCGCTTTGCTTTTAAAGCGATTTTTATGTTTATGCCCCAGGCTTGACATTTGTGTGAACTGAAAGGAAAGACAAAGTCAGTATCTCTTTTTCCCTCGAGCAAGTTACCTTCGGTCATGCAGAATACTCGGAGGAAAGCCAGGAGCTGGGCAGAGATAGGAGGCTCCGTAAAGTGCAAGGCGAAGACGCTGGACCTGACAGGGCAGGAGGCAAGATCAGCAGGGCGGCCGTTCCCCAAGTGAGCGCCCCTCAATCCACAATCTGCAGTGGGTTTTGGGAGCTGAGCCGGCATGTGCCGGTCCAGGTCCCCTTCCAGCCCCGGGGGAACTATCAGCCCAATTTCCAGTCCCTGCCAAATGCGGGGGGCAAGGCCAGCTGGCAGGGCACCGGTCACCACCTCTGCTGGCTTTTCTGAGTCAAAGAGCCTCCTTCTGGGGTCGCAAACAACCCGCCCAGGAAATGAAGCTCACCCAGGGTCCTTCAAAAATGTTACCAGTAATTTAGGTTGAGTTCACATTTTAATCATTAATCAAATATTGACAAGTTCAATAAAGAAAGGTCTGGATAATCCATTTTCATTAAGAAGGGTTCCTCCTTTCCCTGGAGAACTAATAAATCATAATTCTTGTCTTCTTTATCATTTTGCCCCTCAGAAGCAAGAAAATCTCATAGAATTTCACCAGAATTTCTTGAAATCACCCAGGATTGTGACTTCATTATGGATACTAATGGTGGCAAAGAATTAAATGCAACAAATTGATCCAGACCATTAACCTTTGCAAGGTGAAAGAAGTGAATGATATCAAAGTTTGTCCTGGACTTAATGAGGAGCCAGGATATCGCCCCAGAGCTGAGAACGCCCCAGCGACAGATTACGTTGATCTGCAAACACTGGGGAATCGCCTGCATCTCAGTTTTGCCTTTGGAGGCGACCCAGGGTAAAGGGATGAGGACAAACGCCTGGAAGGAGCTGTATTAACACACCCGTTACGCGCTGGGCCCCGGAGGAGCACCGGGCCGCGCTCACTCACGTGGGGATGCCGGCGCGTGCCAGGACCTCGGCCTTCATGGCGTAGAGCCTGTCGCTTTTGCTCACTCCCAGCTTTATTTTCACTCTGTCGTGTGAATTATTGTCAAAGAAAAAACCACTGTGGATCACAAACTCTGCATTTGACCGGGTGCCATAAAAAATGTAAATCTGAGAAAGGCGGTAGAGAAAAAAACAAAGGGACATGAAGGAAATTTAACATCCGCTCTTGCTCAGAGCCGGCAAGGGTTAGCGCCCACCTACTTTACATGGATTAGCTGTGAGGGCGACCCTTGTTCTGGAGATGGCATGTACCTGGGGAGCTCAGCAAGGCCTGCGTCTCCCAGTTCCCCAGCTGCCAGGTGGAGGATCGAAGGCCCATTGACAGCTGGGGGCTCGGGCCGCCCTCTGCTCTGTCCAGGGATGGCGAGACTATCACTTTACTGCACTGTAACATCCACCATCGTGTTCCTCTCCTTTTACGACCAGAAAGTCTCTCCCAGGACAAGCTGCCAGCACAGCCTTCCTCCTAGAGCCTGCCCAGCTCAGGGCGGACAGGCTATCCCGCACTAAGGGCAGGGCCTGACGTTGGGGCATGCTCCCTTCATTCCTCTGCAACTGTGGGCCCCTCGCCTGGGTGTCTTTGTGCTGGGCCAGGGGCTGGCAGGGAGGACGGGGCACTCCTAGCTGCCTGTTCTCCAGATCACTGAAAGGCTCAGCCCGCCCAACTGTTAAACACTCAGGTGAACATCAAAGTACACGCCTGATTCCTAGTAAAAGGAGATTCCCGCTTAAATAAACTCCCCCGATGGGGAAGGACAGTAAGGGAATGCCAGGCCTTATACCCGCCTCGCTCCCTGCAGGCACCAGGGCCTGCGCCAGCCGCTCACTCCCCACCCCCCATCCCCATGGCTCTGGGCCCAAGCACAGAGTGTTTGGGGCCCTCTGGGTGTGAAGCGGGCACCAGAGAACAGTGGACCCCGCGTGACCCCTGTGCTTCACCCGCCTGCCTGAAGCACCTGTCTAGTCCCTGCGACGGGGCACCACCCCAGCCACGGCCCAGCCACCCACCTGCTCTCCGGCTCGGAAGTCCCGCAGGGCCACGCACTCGCAACGGTCGTCCTCCAGGTTGTAGCCGGTGGTGATCTGGACATGGAGAAAGGGCGGGACACAGCCAGCGCGGTCAGTCTCCCCCGCAGCTAGCGGACAGCGCCCTCCCGCGGAGCCTGAGAGGAGGCGTGCTGGGTGCTCCATCAACAGACAGAGAACTGCTCGGCCACTTTCATTCCTCCCATGCACGCCGGGAGTTCTTACGGAAAATTCTACAGCGAGCTAGATCATCACGGGCGGCGCTCACCAAACAGAAGCACCGCACGGTTCAGGGACGCCACCCGCTGCCCCCACGGGGACACAGGGCGAGCAGCCCCTGCAGGCGGAAGGAAGAGGCGGGGGCTGCGTGGGTCTCCCACTGGCTAAAGCATCAGGGGCTGAGGGCCTCCCTGGTGGCGCAGCAGGTTGAGCGCACTATGAAGCAATCTGCAGCCTCCACGGCACCGGTTCGATTCCGAGTCAGGGAGATTCCCACATGGCATGGCAGACCTCTCCTGCTGCGCCCACGGCTCCCCTCAGCAGTGCCTTCCATCTGTCTGCCTGTTCTGTGCCCTGCTCTGTCTCTGGTGGATTCTCCCACCCTCCCGTGACCCTGGCCTGTACCCCGGTGCTTGTATAAATACATAAATCTTAAAAAAAAAAAAAAAAAAATCAGGGGCCAAGAGAAGCTCTGACTCTGAAATCATGTATACATTTCACCCTGAAACTAGAGAATTAAAACTGTCAGATAAGCAAAGGACACTAAAATAACTGGGTTACATCCTGTTCACTTTCTTTCTGCAGAGACACTGTGAGTCTCCAAGTCCATCAGAAGAAGGACAGAAGCCCCAGCCCCCATCTGCTGTCCTGGTGGGCAGGCAAGCTCAAGGCCTCCCCACAAGTCACAAAGGTACCCCTGGCGCCCCCAGTGGTCAGCATTTGTCCCTACATGTCCTTGGGGTGACTTCCCTTGGGGCTGAGGCCCTGTGCTTTCGTGCCTAGCTAAGCATCTGCAAACCCAGCAGAGGGTCCCACCCAGCGTGCCCCCTGCCAGGGGAGCCTTACAAGGTCTCTCCTGCTTAAAGCCACGCAGTGTGCTGCCGGCACTCAGCAAAGGCCTGGACCAAGGAGCTGCAGCAGAACCACACTGTGGAGCCCTGCTCAGCCCGAGGAAGGTGAAAGGCTGCTGTTTACAGCAAGATGCAGGGAGCTCGAGGGAATGATGGGAGGAAAGCCAGGCAGACGGACAGATTAATGCTGGACATGTGCCTAGCAGACAACTCCCAAAACCCAGCGAGCACTCAGGGGAGGGAGAAAGGGACAAGGCGGGGAAAACACAGTTAGGAAATTACCATTAAAATCACAAAAAAGTTTTTTAAAAAAGATAATGACATTTTCAAATAAAGACAGTTTTACTTCCAAAAAATAAAATTAAAAAAGGCAGTTCTTTACATTAAATAAAAGTAGGTTTATTAAAAAAAAATAACTTGATGTCTTTGAGAAGAGTGCCTTTTTTTTGAGAGAGCAGAAAAGGTGCCATGGTTTGGGGTGTGGGGGAAGGGACAGCAAGGGTGGCCATTTTTCCCAAGTGTAACTTCTGGCACAATAGTAGGCATCCCCTGCCCCCTGCTCCCCTACCCTTAGGTGCTTAGTAACTGATTGCTATGAATTCTCCTATGCAATTTGCCATTATTTAAAAACAAGCAAACAAAAACCTCTCAGTGGTGCTTGCTTTCCGCCTCCAGAAGGAAATCCAAATTCCTGAGCACATTGCAAGGAGAATCAGGCCCCCCCACCTCTTGTCCCTCCAGGGGGCTGCCACTGGGGCCACCATGGTGCCAGCTCCCGTCACCTCAAACCTCTTCTGCTCCCAGTTGGCCTGAGTCTGGCTTTATCAGTGCTGCCTCCCTGTATCCCACCCTCTGGCACTTCCTAAACTCCTCTGGCCAATGTGGGTGACCTGTGTCCTCCTCCTGAGTCAGACCTGGATCCTCCTCCCCCGTGTCCCTGGGTGACAGTACACAGTAGTTGACATGGACAGCCTTCAAGACTGTCTACTTGATGCCTGAACCCCCAGGGAAAAGAACAGCCCCACCCATATCTCTCACATTCTCCGTGAATGTTTATTAATTGTTTTGACCAGCCCAGCTTATCTCAAAGAATGAAAATTTAAGATGGCCAAGTGCTACTGGCTAATAAAGCCATCAAGCACTTGGAGCCAAAGGATGATTTCTGAGCTCAGGGAATGGACTCTGGGGACAGAAGGCCATGGATGGGGTGCTAATCTTTACACCCAGTGTCCCCAGGACAGTGACTTATGAACCCAGCAGCTGGAAATCCTTCATACTTGTGATCTACAAAGACTAAGGAGGAGGAAGAAAGCAACATGAAATGAGTAAAGCCAAGTCCTGGCACATTTTCATTCACAGAGCTGTTGAACCACTTTCCTAACTCCCAGATGTGACCTTGGTAAGAAAGTGTAGAGAAGGAATTGTGAATCCCAGCCCTAAAAGTCTGGCTCCCAGGTGTTGACACCCAGGGTGCTGCAGGACAGAGGCAGGAGGGAAGTCAGGGGCAGGAGAGAGAACGGGAAGAAAAGGCAGCCAAGCCAACCCTGAACAAGTAACTAGGTAGAAAGACAGGCTATAGACCAGGGTGGGACGCAGGAAGGCAGGAAGGGAACTGAGTGTAGAAGGTGTGGCGCTTTTATATCTGGTGTTTTACAGCTGGTGCTCAAGTGGCTACAGGGTATTTTCATGTCTCAGAGGGAAAAGAAGGTGCAAAGGCCCTGGGGCGACCAAGCACCAGTGTCTGGGGAGCAGCAGAGGGAGTGTCCTGGAGACAGGCTGTCTGCTACTGTAAACCTGCTTTGAGACTGGAAGCCTCAGTGTAAATGTCTTGGATTTCTCCACTCAAACAGAAAGACCCTCACAAAACCCCTCCCTCAGTTCTGCCTGAGTTCTCCAGCAGCCTTTCATCCTGGCCGGTAGAGCCACATATCCAAATGCAAGGGCCGGTTATTCCAACAAGGTTTATCTGCTGGCAGAACAGGGGTCCGCCTCTGCACCCCTGGACGACCTCAAGAGAGGAAGCCTGCTGCTTGTTTCTATTTTGACAGTCATGCAAAATTTAAAGATGTATCATTTCTTCCTATGCTTAACCCATGCATACAAGTTTGGAAGCACTCGGGACTAGGAAATTAGCGACAGCATCTCTGGCTATTGCTCTAGCTCTTTTCTCCTGGCTGCTCTTGGTTTGGAATCACCGCTACAGAATTGATTCATTTCTATTCCCAGACCAGATATGGGGGACACTGTTTGAAGCACACAGCTTGCTGGGTCACAAATTTCTACCTGCTCCCTAAGCAACAGTCATGAGAAACAGTGATCGTCAGGACACACACACACACACACACACACACACATGCGTGCCTGCGCCTCCTGCCTAGAAGCCCAGCATGCATCTCTAGGACTTCAGGTTCTAACAGAGGGGCGAACTGCTGGCGCACGCCCTGTGCAATTTCACCATGTTTGAGCAGATTCTCAAATCCTAGCAGATAGAATCTCCCATGAAGTCTCACAATTACAACAGGAAACAGTTCAATGCGGGTGTGGGGTGACTGGAGCTGGGAAAGGCCCCCATAAGGAAGCACTCCGGCTGGTACAGACCCTCTCAGGGCCGGGACACTTCTGCCAGGCCCCGGTGGGTCAGGTGCTGGGCGCCACGTTAGGAAAAGCACAGCATAAATGGCTGGCAGTGGTTATTTTTATTTTGAGACAAACTCACTGACTTTTTACTTGAGGGGGAGGTGAGTGGCTTAAACCCACTGACATGCATGCAGCCCACTAGTCAGGCGTCTGCGAGGGCGCGAGGTAGACGTGCAGGCACCGGGGTGTGCGGAGCCCTGGCCAGGCCTGGCATTGTGGGCCGTCCCATCTTACTGTAGGGGCTACCAGCTGCGTAGTGGCCCTGTGGTTTACAGTAAAGCACGCATTTGCTCAAATTTACACACAGAAAATAAACTCTGATAATCAACCAGGTTTTGGGAACCAATGAGCTAATCCGGAAAAAAAAGCTGAAAAGTATCATCGTCATAGTCATACGGTAAATGCTATTTGAAAAAAATTAACACTGCAATCTTATCAGTTTAAAACAGCTCAGGAGGGGGGGAAAGGAATGCAAAATTTTATTCATTAATGAAAATAAATGATAGACTGTGCAACTCTTCCTTAACATGGTTAATCAAAATCAAGCATATCTGAATGAAGCCAACGCCACAGTGAGCACGGAGCCGCGCCATCCCCCTCCGAGGGCGCTCGCTGCGAGGCCTCCCCAGTTAGCACCAGGGCTATCTTAAGTGTCGGCACACATGACATGTGTTCTGGCCATTTTGTAGAATTAGATGTGAAATACTCATTTACAGCCTTTTTCAGTCTATTTATAACACTGCTAATAATAACAAACAAAGCCGAGGGTGAGAAGAGAAACACAAACCTAAGCAGACCAGTGCACGAATCTCATGCTTGAAAACTCAAAACATTCTGAAGTTGATCATCTTCTACAGTTACTATCAGGAAACCTTTCCCGGGCATCAGCTCAGCACAGAGCGAGGCCCTCGCTGCTGCCCGGGACGCGGAGGGGGGCCGGGGCCGCACCTCCTTCTCTCTCATCGGAATTAACAGCCGTAATAAAATCCCCTATTTTCTTCACGTCTCCTGCCCGGTGCTTCTGTGCCTGATGATGCCAATGGACTCCCACGTGCAGGGGCTGGAGCCAAGCGCCCAATGCCAGGGGGCAAAGCCTGGCCAGGCCCAGCCCACGTCAGCCCTGGGGCGGGCGGGAGTGAGGCGAGTGCTTGGCTGCAGAGTCGGCAAAGAAAGCAGAAAGGACCCTAGCGGGGAAAACGAGCACGAAGAAAGGTTTTTCCTAATCAATCGGTATTTTCAAAAGATGAAGAAAAGAAACTTTGGTTCACTCTGTGGCACAATAAGATAAAATGAATGTTTAGGCTGGAATGACAGCTTAGCAAATAAATGCAATTCCCTGTGGTTTCTGAAGGTGGTTTAAGATTCAAGTTCCCGTGTTGATCACTGAGTAAACGCCTCAGGAGAATGGGCGCTGCTGCCGTCTCCTCCTGAGAGGCTGGGGCCCCAGCGGGATCTGCAGGGAAGGCCCAGCCGCACCCCACACCCGCCTCCGACACTTCGAGTTGGTCCTTACCAGGCCGCTGGTGTGGTTGCACATGTCCCACAGAGGGATCAGCGCCAGGGTCACCCGGGAACCGTCCTCCGTAGGAATCTGGTTTTGCCGAGTCATCACGGAGGAAACAGCCCACCTGCAAAAGCAGGAGAGGTGGCCTGAGCAGGCGGCAGCGTGGCCCACTCCATCCCATGCGTGCGTCTGACACTGCCTCTTCCAAACCTCATTGTCCTAAGACCCCCGGCCATGGCTGGCCTCCTGAGCTGGCATTCAAAATTAAGTCTTGGGGCTAAGGGGAGGAAGGGGGGGCTGGAAGGAAATGGGAGCCTGAAGAACGAGGAGTTAAAGGAGGCGCGCCCTAGAACAAAGGGGACCCCAGGAGGAGTGCCGCAGTAAGGGGGGCTATGGCCTCTCAGGCCTCTGGGGTCTAACACAGAAGTGCAGACCCCTCCCTCAGAAGCCCCTCCCCACCCTCAAATGAGGGCTCCACACCTGCAGTCAGCCCCAGGGTCAAGAACACCCCTCCTTTCTAACTGGGAATCTGCTAAGAACGCAGCAAAACGGGGACCGCTCTCTGTTATGATGTTGTGCCGGGAATAAAATCTTTCTGCTCAAAAAAGTTTCATATTCACTTTACACTAAAATCATCTATTTAAAAAGGAAAAAAATCCTGATGACCACCTCACTAATGTTAACCTGGTCGCCTCAATTAGTCACCGGCTCATCCCTCTCAACTTTGGAAAGATGGCCTTGGTTCCCGTGCTCTAAATGGCCACAGCATTTAATCCTGAAGCAATGCTCTCATTTTCAATATCCCAAATGCACTTAGAAACCACCCCCCCAAACCTTACACACAAACAGACACACCCCTAAACCCCACCGCATATCCCGCCACCCCCTACACACACACACACACACACACACACACACGCACGCACACACGCACGCACCAACCTGTAGTCCTCATAAGTGAAAGAATCCTTCAAGGGCAGTTTGTTGGCATGAGGATGGGTCTGGGAATTAGAAGTTTTAGAAAGCAGAGGTGAAAAGAGAAAAAGGGAAAACAGAAATCAGTCAGCAGAATTTCATTATTTAGCTGCCTAACAGATCCTAACAAGAGCCAAATGAAGCGGGAGGCGTCCAGCCGAGCTACTGAGGGATCATCGTGCTATTATGCTCTCATACATCACTGTCAACTTAATTTGTTGTGCCCAGCAGCCGCCATAAATCTGCTTCTTCATATTTCGATACTAGAACCCACAGACATGGCGCAAAAATAAAATTTAAGGTGGACCGCGTTTGCGAGCAGCGAGCACCCGCCGGCCCCTGCTCGGGCTCGGGGCCAGGGGTCTGCGGCCCGCCTGCCTGCCTTCCTGAGCGACAGGCCTGTCGGGCAGAGGCCTCAGACTCGTCCTTTCTCAATACAAGGAACAATTAAAGGACTCTCAGAAACGGGAGTTTCTTTCCCTGCTTCTGACTTCACGCGCTGGGGTGGGAGCAGCCTGCGAGAAGCAGAGCAATCACGGGCGGCGCGGCACAGAAAAATCGAGAAAAATACAGGCTTGGGGATTACAAAGTCAACCCTGCAAATAAACATGCTGAAGATATGTAGAGATCAGCATACTTAAATTCTTTTTTTTTTTTCCTGGACAGAAAAACATTTGGTAAAAATATCCAAAACTTCACACTTATGAGAAAATTTTATATATTTCATCCTCTCTCTTCACTACCCCCTCAGCCCCCACCATGACCTTCCAAGCACTTAAAAGCTTGGTCTCTGTTAGGAAATGAAAATCTCTAACAGTCTAATTTGAAGCTTCAGTGTCCATGACAGTCTGACGGCAGACTGCACAAGCGGCCGCGGGAACACAAGGTGGCTCTGAGACTCAGGAAGGGCCGGCCTCTGCATGAGTGGGGGGGCCCCAGCGCCGGCCCGCACAGTTTTTACTCGTGACGCATTAGCATCTCGAGTGCACGGTAATTTATCATCGCTCACTGTAATGTACTCTCTGGCACCGTGTGCTGGACGGTAGGAGATGAGGTAAAAGTGGCTCAGACCGTAAATCAATTAGAAAACAAAAGCTGTGCTCAGTGCAGTTTTAGGCAAATTACATGTTACAAAAGGCTGCCAATCAGTGGGTGTTAGCGCCCAGGTGCCTGGGCCTCCCCTCTCCAAGGCCCAGTTTTAACCCTTTGGAAGAAAAGTCAAGATATAAAAAGATAGCCACATAACTTGCAAATGTTGCAATAATAAAAATGAAATTACAGGTGTAGTTTAACATATAAAAATAACATGTTGCCCAAAGGTATTCATGTACACAGGAAATCCTATTTCTGGGTTTAAAAAAATCCATATTGTGGTCACCCCCAGGGAAGATTCCAGGGTCCCAGAATGAAGCGTCTTCCCCTCTTCTCTGTGACAAATGAAAAGCTGGGTCGCACCCTAGGGTCTGAAGATGCGGCCCATCTCACTACAAAATGTAACCACAACATTGTTTAAGGTTTCCTCAAAAAAAAAAAAAAAAGTGCAAATTCAGCAAATAAGAACTGTCCCTCCACCCCAGAACTAATTGGATCCAAAGAAATACCATACAAAAATTTCAAGAACCTTCAAGAAAGTGAACCCTGTCGCTAAGCTTTCCCCTCTCTGGTAATAGAAGGAAACTTCACTGACCCCGGGAGGCTGCACACCTATCTCCCTTCAAACCCCAGGAGGGGAAAGCTCTGCTGTTTCTGTTATTTTAAAACACTTTACTTCATTAAAACTGTGGAATGCATGCACCATGGTACTTGGGAAACCAAGTAAATACCAATGCAGAACCCCTAATTATTACAGATCTGACACCCCCACCCCCAAGGCTGATTTTTTTGACCAGGAGAAAAGAGACAATTCCACACCGGGCTGCAGAAGGTCAGTGCGACTCCAGGAAGAAGGCTCTCCCTACCACAGCGTCCTGAAGTGGCAAACACCTTCTAAAATAAGCTCTTCAACATGTTTTCCCTGCTATTAATTTATATGCATTTCTTACCGAAAAGATAAGTTCATGCTCACAGTCCTGACGAAGCCGTAAAGAAAACCCAAGGACAAAAATGTGCAAATGCTTCCCCTCCGATTAATTGTGGAATTGTTTTGACTGTAGGGTTACATAATATTTGCAGAATCTGTTAGAAGTAGTTGTTCTTATCGGCTTTAAAAAACGGGGTGTGCCGACTATACATAATTCTGGTAGAAAAAAAGCTATTCTGCCACAGACACAGGCACTTAACAGTTTCACTGAAGCAAAATCTGACGTTATGGGAAAAAAGGCAAGAAACTTCCTTGACAGGGCTCACTGCTGTGGCACTACCGCCACCTACTGGCAGTGCGGCAGAATGCACTACAACCCCCGCGCGGCATCAGGCAGCTTGTCGCGGATGAAAATCGGGTTTTATTTCCTGTGGCTACACTTCCAGCTTTACCCAAGCAAAATCGGGTTTCTGAAAAAAGCTATCCAACCTCTTCAGATTCTCATAGATTAGTTTTGCAAGGATCTTGAAACACTCAAATGTCAAGCATGATTTGCAGGTGAATGTTAAACTTCGAAGATAAGTATTTTCATATCTCCTGAAAAAATTAATGAGAATCAGAAAAACACCTATTCTAAATCCTCTTTATTGAACTTTTGGATAGAATGGTTTACAAAAATAACACACCAAATCTTCTCTCCGGTGAAGACCAAATTAAGGTTTTTCCATCTTCCAAAACATAACATTAAACTTAAGGTTACTTGAAAATTCTATTATGTTTAGCTGAAAGTCTTTCGATGTATACTTTACATGGAGGATAACTGAGCATCCACTACTTTATAGAACAAAATCAACAGGGTTTTGTTTATAGGACATGTTTCCGCCAATAAAAGACATTCTTAACCTGTACCTTAAATGTAAATTAGAATAGAAGACTCCTAGGTCTAAGCTGTGAGTTACTTCAAGATCCAGATACACAAGGGCTGCATGAGGAGGCTGCCTGGCGGTGTCAGTGGGTGGTCACAGGGCACAGCGGACCCTGGGGCCCAAGATGGGCAGGTTACGGTGTCCATTGATACACTAGCTCCCCACACCACCCCCTAAATAACAGGCTTAGATAACAGCCACAGATTTTTTGCAGATTTTTTAAATGACTCATGTTTTTACTTTCCTGAGCCTTATAAATATTTGAAGTCAGAGAAATGAACAATTGCTGCAGCTCATAATTGGCTCGCAGCCTTTTAAAAAGCTTATTTTTAAAAGAGGCTTCTTGTTTTCTTGGACCAAGCCAGAACCCAGGAGCGCTCTCCTCCCAGGCCCTCTGTGTGGAAAGGATATATTCCAGATGAGACACAGCAATATCGCACCTAGTACGAAATAATCACTCTGTTTGGGGAAGATTAATATCTAAAATCATTTGTTTGGCTTCAATAAAAAGAAGTAATATTGCTAAATATGTAAGTATGACATTTTGAAGAATTTTCCATATTGCACGGGTCTAGGTAGCTCTGCATAAGGAAATTAAAAACCACTACCGTCAGCATCTTTGATCCTTATTAAAGTTCTATTACTCACATAAAACAAAAATAAACCAAGAAGAAATTTAAATAAAACCTATGGATTACAAGAGTTTGAAGATGAAAAAATGAACAATATTCGTGCTTTAAAAAATTGATTTAGCATGCAGCTTCTCTTTATAGTCCCTTGATAAAAATGAAATCTCCCTAACAAACACTTAATAAAACCTGTCAATATCTCTGGAAAGGAAAATGACACAAATGCATTAAGTATTAAATACCCTTGGAAAAAGTCACATATTCCATGAATTTTTGATGGACTATCTTGACATCAATGTAAAGCCTTGATATTTATAATTGACAGATATTTAATAAAGTGCAAGAGGAGGCGGCGGCTGCTGGGCGGGCGGCGCAGGCTGGTCGGCATCGAGCGACACGGACGTGGACTTAACTAAATAAACAGTTAATGTGTGTTACACAGGCCGGCTGCAGCCTTGTTTTAAGCTCATACAACAAACGTTTGTGGAGCACCAAAATAAGCAGAATTCATTATGATGTGAATTCCTAGTTCACAGACAACTAGTATGGGAGACCGTTTTGAAAGGGTATTTTTTTTGTTTGTTTTTAACATTTAACAATAAGCATTTTTTTAAGTAAAATTAAAAAATGAGCATTCCCCTGAATGCAAAGAAACACATTTAACCTGAAGAAAGCTACAAAACCCTCTATGGAAAAAGAAAAAGGATCAGGACACATTAGTGATTTTTCGGTTATAACCACTTCTCAAGGTCGGAGCTAAAGAAAAGTACCATCTATGCCGATTTTTATAAGGAAACGGAGTGGAATATATCGAATAATCCCCTTCAGTGAGGCATTTAAAGGAAAGTGGCTCAGTTCATAAAAATGACTCATAAATACTCTGTTTTAAAGAATTTATGGCCTACTTTAATATATAATCAATTGTTAATTTCAAAAATATATATGTTAGCTAGCGACTTATTCCTGGCTCTATTGTACCAGGCATGAGAAAACATAATTAGAAGTTACACTAGTTCTGATAAAAACAAAAGAACCCTAATACCATGAGATTAAAAATTTCTAATTAAAATAGATCCAAGATTGCTATCGGCTTTTCGTCTTAAGCAGGATACTAAGAGGATGGTCAAGTGTTGACTTACTGTCAACAGAGACCATATTCTAGGAACAGTTCCATTTCTCTTACTCCAACCCAATAAAATCATCATGGAACCCCAGATCTAACCTCGCTGGGTGGGTGCAATTCAAGTTTTGGAAAAGCAGCCCCATGTCACACAACCAAGGGAGCGTCTGAGCTGGGCGGCCCTGCGCAGCATGCTCCCGAAGCCCAGTGTGGATCTGCGGTCTCGGCAAATTTAGGGCGCTGGCAAAGCAGGGCAAAAGGAGAGAGGTGGCAGGAAGCCCCCCCGAGCTGGCCACCCTTGCATGCAGCCCCGCACACCTCACGAGGAAAG